ATAGAGAGCTAGAAACATCGATGAGAGAGAGTCATCGATCAGCCGCCTCTTGCACACCCCCTACTGGAGATATGCCCGCAACCAAGGTACATGCCCTTGACCGGAATCGAACCCGGGACCCTTCAGTCCCCAAGCCGACGCTCTATCCATTGAGCCAAACCGGTCTCGGCTGGCCACCCTTTTTTTTTATTATTAAGATATTATATGGCCACATTTCTTTATCTTACTGTACGTACTTTATTAAGCTATGTCCTAGGCCATTCTTAAATTTCCCAGATATTGAAAAACTATCAGGATTTAAAAAAAAAAAATGTCCTTGTTTCCACCTAGCTGTTATGGCTCCGTGAACAGAGCATCAGCCTGCAGAGTGAGGGTCCTGGATTTGATTTTGGTCAAGGACATGTGCCTGGGCTGCCAGGCTCGATCCCCCATAGGGGGCATGCAGGAGGCAGCCAATCAAAAGATTCTCTCTCATTATTGATGTTTCTCTCTCTCCCTTCCTCTCTGAATTCAATAAAAATAATTATTCTTTAAAGTCCTGGTTTCCAACATCCTGGACTCTTACTAAGAGCTGAGCTGAACAGTAGGACCTGCCAAATGATGATCCTGGTTACAGCAAACTGGTAGCTTAAAGTTCAATTGACATTTCCTGTAATTTCAGATTCAAGTCCAAGGATCATTTTGCTTCGTTATTCCCACGGGTTGACTATTTCTCTCAAGCATGAACCTTTACTGACTTTTCTTTAGTGGTTATCTATATCACCTGGTATAAAGGATGATGGTAGATATTCTTTGGAATCACCAAGATAGTCACATCGTTTTATTTCCTACATGTAATTCAGCTAAGTTAGATGGAGATGAAATATCTAACCTTATGCCATTATTAGACCATCACTATGAAATAAAATTTTAGTTTGCTTCACCTAGAGATTGGATTTAATTCCTAGACCAGTATGGATAAACACAATTCATGTTATCTTAGAGACAAGAATATACAGATGGGTAATTAATTTTTTTGGGTGCTATTCTCTTGCTTAATACTCTTTCTATGAATATGGCTCCAGGTCCCATTACCTTCACAAAACAGTCTGGCAGTTGGAGACAATGTGATAGCTAGTATTAGACATCCATTCCCTTCCTGAACAATCACTTATTAAAGGGGCTGGTAACATGTGTGAAACAACGTATAAAACATGCCTCTGTCCTCGGGTAGCTGATTTTATAATCCAAAGCAGCATGGGAAAGTCACAGGAGGGCTATAAAGTAGGGCAGGAGGGAGATTTGACTGCAGATGGGTGAAGGTGGCTTCAGGAAAGAGGTGCCACTTGAACAGAAGTCGGCTCCTTCTTTTATCTACCAAAGAGCAAGGACTTTAAATATATAATTGCACAGGTATGCATCTATGTGACTGACATAAATATGAAAGGTTATCACATTACAAAAGAGAGGGGAATGTGAATATCAGCATTTCGTCAAGGAATAGGAATAGTTTCTGGCTTCTAGAACCTAGGAAAATGTCAGCATGTAGCCATGTAGAGGAAGATTTAGTTATTTTATGACAATCTAAAACCAATTTTATATAGTAATAGACCAATGATTTGTTAACAAGACCACTCTGGTTGCCTGCTATTTCCTTCCCAATTATTTTATAAATTGGCAATGAGGGGTCTGGGGGGCAGGGTAGCAAGGAAGTATGTATAAGCTATTTTAGTGGCTTGAATGTGCTTTATTCAAGAAACCACACCTTTTCACTCAGTTGTATACTAAAAGGTATCATTTCCCAATTATTTAACCAAATACCTTGATATTATGTTACATTTGGGGTTGCACAAAATCAGCATGTTATAAATAAATATTTTCACATGCTCTTATTTCTTATATTATAAACCTAAAACTGTTCTAATCTGTGAGACCAACATGATGATGTTTTGAAAGTTTAATACCATGCAGAAGTGAAATATTGTCACAACAGAAATATGGCCCACTATTCAGAATGTTTCCTTGTTTTCAGATCAATTGTCAAAAGGAGGCTCACTGAACCTCAGTATATACTTAAAAACAGTATAAGAAGAGCTTTTTATCCTTATATGGAAATGAAGATTACAATAGTAATATTAACCCTTTCTAAGAGCACTAAGTGCCAGACATTATTGTAAGTATTTTACATAGGTTAATTTAATGTCCTTAATAACCATTATTATCCTCATTTTACCAAAAACGGAGGCCTAGAGAGATTAAGAAATCTTCCCAATATCACACATTAACTAGTGGGGCTAGGATGGAAACCCAGTCCATCCATCCAGTTGCACTGCAGGAGTCTCTTCCTTCCGTACCCTAAGGAAACTTCCTTCCTGAGATATGGTTGCCATCAAACAAGGCCTTTCTTTGAGATTAGTGGAACTGATACCATCAATCCAGGGCTATGAGCATTGCATAGTAGTATGGCATATCCTATATAATAAACAGGTGATATGCAAATTGAACCTCACACCTTCACAAGATGGCTGCCTACAACCAGGACAGCAGGGGGATTAGTGAGGGATGACCAAATGACTGAACAAGCAGGCTGCGTGGGGTGACTAGGCCAGGAGGGGGGGGTTAGTGAGGGATGACCAAACAACTGAACAGCAGACTGTGTGGGGTGATCAGGCCAGCATGCAAAGGCAGTGAGGGGTGATCAGGCTGGCAGGCAGGTGAGCAATTAGGAGACAGCGATCCAAGATTATGAGAGGGGTGTCCGACTGCCAGTTTAGGTCTGATCCTCAGGGGTCCCAGATTGGAGAGGGTGCAGGCTGGGCTGAGGGAAGCCCCACCCTATGCACAAATTTCATGCACCGGTCCTCTAGTATAATTATGCAACCCACCGAAGAATATGGTTCTATTGATATAGTACATGATCAAGGACATAATCTAATATTAACTATTCGATTTAAGTATAAGAAGACTGAGAATGTCAGATTCTGACTAATAGACTAATACAATCAAATATATAAGATGAATAGTAATTAGGTTTCTTATTTCTACCTATGTCTCATTGGCAGATGACAGGGAGTGACATATTTTTAAAAAGTCCTAAGAAATTTTTATGCCAACTACAGAGATCTCAGAATATCTCGCCTGGTGCCACAAAAACCCTGTACTAGCTACAGCTAAGTTAAAGTTGGATGAGTATCTTGGAACAAGAGATAGATACAGTGTCTTGGCTTCAATGATTGAAATACTGACTGACCATTTACTTTAAAATGATTTAAATATTGAAAAAGCAACTTTAAAATAAATTAAGAATAAAGACTGTAAATGTATACTAATGAACTTAAAATTTTAGAACAGGAATAGAAGCAAAGAGTAGAATATATCCTTCTACTAAGAAAATAACAGGAAATATAAGGTAATTCTCCTAATATATAACAAATATCTAGTTTTGGAGGTTTGGATTGTTTTGTTTTTGTTTGTTTTTTAGCTATCTTGAAAAAAATGAAACCCTTCTGGCTAGCTCCCAAATATCCATTCAAAACACTACTTATTGCCAAAGTATAAAACTTAGAAGGCATCTGAAGCCATCAAGGAACTACAGTGCCAAATTGATGATAGGTTTCCAATTGTCCTCAACATGCAGGGTATCTGGTCTCAAAACAAAAACACAAAGTCCTGTTGCTATGGTTACTGAAAACAGTTTCTAGTTTTAATTCAGTTCTGGGCCTTTTGACAAATTTACCATCATATTTCACAAGAATGCAGTATACTTTAAGAGCCCTAAATAAATCAGAGTCTTTTCATTTTACAGCTCCTTGGGTCAAATCTTGACAACCATGAAGTACTATAAAAAATACAAATTTTTAAAAAAGGGTGCCTTTCCCCCCCAAAGGTGAGAGAAGCAAAGATAAATTATGGTTTGGTAAAAAACAAAAACAATACCAATTACAATTTTCTTATATTCTCAAATTCTTAAGTTGTGGGATATTTATAAACTAATTTCAGGGAGGAATGGCAAATATTTTGACATCTTAATATTAGAATAAGTTGTGAAAACATTTTTGTTAATAACATAGCTCTAATGTCAGACATATGTCATAGTTCATAACACACACCTATTTTATAGCAATAGTAAATAAAGAGGTATTAAAAAAATTCTTTACTATTTGTACTCATTGGTCATTTGAACTGCCAATATTGATTTTTAAAAGAATATTCCAGTAAATATATATCTACATTTGTAACTCTTGAGAAAAAAATGACCCAGAGAGTTAATCATAAGATTTTTAAGACTTTAGTTAGATTATATCCAGCACATTAACTCTCACAAATGATGTATATTTTTTTTTTGAAGAGAGGGATTGAAGTCTATCTCTGTAGCTTTAATATTAAATTCATTTTATGAAACTTTTAAAGCATAAAAAATTAAATTTAGAAATTCCAATTTTTAAGTTCTAATTTAGAAAGCTACTTGGGTTTGGAGGATAAACAGTATTAAGGGCCTTAAGAAAAACAACATAAATATGACATTGAAGCAAACTGGCACAGTTTGACAAGTATTAGAAAACTAGCTCACAAAATGAATATACTTAAGATTCAGACAAACACAACAAATATAGCCTTTATCCAAAAATCACAGAGACAGTCCTATATAATACCCATGTTAAAGGTTCAACACTACAGGCCAAAGGTTGCCAGAGTCCTGGCAGAGAAGTTAACAATGTGACTACGCTTGACGAAGCTTTGCGCGCATGCACACACTCTGCAATGGGGGGAGACAGACACCGATCACCATCAATATTGTCCTTACTTGCAGACGCACAAGTATCCTGCATGTTCCGATTCTGACTGGCACCTGGAGCAGCTCTACATGCCAGTCATCCCAATGTACTCAGGGATGTAAACACCTTATAATTAGAAAACGTGAAGGCGTCAAGGACGTTAGACAAATTTAAAACACATCCAAAGATTAATTTTTAAAGCCATTGAAGAAATAATTAATTGCAAATTCCAAAAAGAGGATTTACCTGCTCCTTCACAGAAGCTAGAATAGTGGTGGCTGTGGTCTCGGGTTCCATGCCTGGGCCAATGCAGGCAGCTTCCTGGCGGATCTGTGGTTGCCCCTCCTCCACCAGTGAGGACTGCTCAGGAGCTGGCATTCCTCCTGCAAGCAAGCAGGCAAAGAGTTAACACTTTCTCCAGGTCTCTTTCTAGTATCTGCAGCTGGTTCCTAGGAAGTACCACAGACTTCTACACACAATGATCACAATACCCTAAGGCTATTGATTTTTAGAAGTCAACATCTAGGGCTAAATGTGTAGTATTACCAAATATTAAAAAATAAATTTAAATGTAATGATAAAAAATATTAAGAGAATATTTAGACATCATAGTTAAAAAAAAAAGACATGAAAAGAAGGCTCTTAAATTAAAAATAGACTAAGGACAATAAAGTTGTTAGGAGCTTGTTAAATTGGAAAAGAAGGCTCTTAAATTAAAAATAAACTAAGGACAATAAAGTTGTTAGGAGCATGTTAAATTGGTGAGCCTTGTAATCCGATAACCAATAAGTAAATATGATTCTTATGAAACAAATAACAATAAACACTCTGTATTTGCTATAAGAACCAGTTTTCAGAAAAGTATATACACAAGAAGACAGCTACAAAGATACAAATGCTGTACCAATTACAGAAGAGGCTTAGGCAATAGGAAAAAAGGTTACAAAAGTTAAGGAAGGCTTGAACATAAACACAAGTCTGCTATATTTAAAAGAAATGCAAGGCATTAATAATCAATAATGATATTTTTGGTAGAATATTACAGTTAGTTTGGTTTCCTTAGAAGAATCAGATTAGTCAAAGATGACAATGGCTATAGGGAGCTGTTGACAAGAGAAACCATTTGTCAGGCTCACAGCTCATGACAGCAGACTGGGTTCTAGGCAGAAGACAAGTGTCTCTCTTAGGATTACACACACAGAGAGTGATGTGCTTGTCAGAGACTTACTGACCTGATGCAGACTTTTCATAAGTTTAAAAAAGATTAGGAAAAGATGTACATCTTTTCCCACCTAAAATGTACATATTTTAATAACCTGTTTAACATGTCAGTCTCTCTGACCAGTAGCCTGAGAGCACAATCTACCTACCATACTGTGAAACTAGCCTGGCATATATATAATAGGTGCTCAATTAATGTTTGCTGAATAAGTGTGAATGTGAATGAAGGATGACCATCATTTCCATGTCTGGTTCTAGACACTAGGCAAATCTAACCAAGTGCTATGAGGCTCATGAGCCCTTGTTTGTTCACTGTTTTACTCTGAATAGTCATATACAGATATCTAAGAACATAAATATTGTTCTTGACATTATTTATCGTTTCCTACTAAAAATTATTCTATTGTTGTATTTAACTTTGTATCAAACCTTTTTAATGTTCAATTCTGAAGTATGATCTAGGGATTCCCCCAGGCCCCTCAAATTTCAGTATCAGCCTGTTATTGTTTTCCCCCAAAATCATAATGTTAAAAAAAAATTTTTTTTTAAAAAGGAGTGGGGGGAGGAGTTGGGGAGGTACATACCACCTGAACCTCCAACTTATTTCTCACTCTCCTGACTTCCACATCAGTGGAGATATTTCTATGCTCCAGTTTTCTGTGAGTGGTTGCTTTATTCTTGTCATATTAACAGGCTGAAACAGGTAATGGGTCTGACAAGTTTCTGCTCTAACAGATGAATATTCCATCTCCGATTTCCTGGTGCCCAAGGCTCAGAGGGACAGATAGCTGGCAAGGAGTTTCCTCAAGTCTGAACACTTCAGACCTGAATAAATAGGGCTAGGATCACAACCTAAGTCATCATGGACAAGTGAGGACCTCATTGAGCCCCACTTTCCTCAATTATAAAAAATGGCCTTACTATTCTTTATACAACAAATGGAATGATTTTTATGACCATCTACATTTTAGTAAAATACACTTCAAACATCATCCATTATAAAATAACCCACTTCTGCACTTACTGAGTGCTCATTAAAGACAAAATATGAGGTCTACTAAGAAGAAAAATAATGCACATAAAGATCTTAGATTTGTCTCTAAAAACATTTAAAGATATAAAAGTATTCCATGCCATTGAAAAATTACACACCTTAAAATAAGCAGATGGTTGCAAAGAACAAAAATGTTACTATGCAACAGTGAAACAAATAATGCCAAGAATCAAAAATTTTAAATGTCAAGAGTATAGTACCATGAAATAACCAATATGTTAGAAAAAGAGAAGCAAAAATTCAGTGAACAAAGAGAATCTGGAAAAGGAGATCTAGAAACATCACTGGGAAAGTACTTATTAATTCTTTACCATAGAGAGGAGGAGCCTCATTGCTTAAAGATACAGAATTCTATTATTGTAATTATATGCCATCACTCTGGTGTACCACAATTTCATGATACTTATCATGATAACTTTGTCCAGAATTGATGAAACTGGATGAACATTTTCTGAGTACTGCTCTGACCATGTGCTCAGGGGGTGCTAAGGGAACACAGGCACAAGCAGGTCACTGACCACTAGTGACTCATCATCTAGCCGAGGCAGCAAAATATGAATGGATCAAGCCAAAGTACAGCAAGATGCAAGCGATGGAATAACAGCACAGAAGCTGATGGACAGAGGTTGTAGAGTATACCTTTGTAAACTCAGCAGCAGAGAATTTTCACAGGCAGGGATGATGTTTTAATTCTCTGATTCCTCAAAGATTAGGAGACATTACCAGTAATCATTAACACACATGAGATGAAGAATGAATGATGACCACAGTACCCATGCATAACTGAGGCTGAGACAATTTTCCCATCCCTCATCTCTGGAACAGCCCCCAAATACTACAACCAACACGGGGCAAAGGAGGGATACCACAATAATGACAAGTGACAAACCTATTAAGGTTGCCCATTTTCTTGTAGTTCTCATAACAATTTAAAGAGTTGCAGGAGCCAAGCAAAGATTAGAGTCACAGAAAAATATTATAACGTCTTCCCATTAGAGCAAAGGAAAAAAGCACTGAGTACTTTTGTGGCAAAGAGATGGTGAAAAATTAGGCCTCAGTGACCTCAACTTGCCTGGCTTGAATGATAGCATTCTAGGAACCTGGGGAAACTTGCAAATAGGCTTCTGGACCATTTGGGGGCTCTCTGGAGAATCACAGAAAACTGGAAGTAGGAAAATGCCAATTCTGTTTTTGGAAAGCAGAAAGTAGACTCTGTTCATGTTACAAACTAGAGAGCTAGACATAAATCTTAGGTGAGATTCTTAAAAAGAATTTAATCCAAGAGACGATTTGCAGGAACTAAAAAGAGGCATACCAAAGAAAAGTCACATTATGCTGGTCTACTTTGTCTTTGGCAATGTACCCACGGAAATGCAGTGTTGTCTAGACTCCAGGGAGGCATGCATCATGTTAGAAAGCACCTACGACATTATAAGCAAATGGGGCTAGCACAGGCTACTGCTGACTCTCACGATCTCTAAATAGCTGAATGAAAAATATCACCCTATAGATTTCTAATATAATGCCAGGGGGGTCTAATATTTACACAATCTAACCAAAACTATATCCATAATGTAAATAATAATAATAATAATACACAGGCATGCTCAAATTCTTCAATATTGTTGAGAATATTGAATTTACCAAAATATAAAATTAAAATATGAATAATGTTGCTAAACTACAGTAATGAGCTGCCTCTATAAGATAAAACAATAGGAATAAATGCTAGGTCTTGTGTTTAGGTTAGCTAAGCAGGACATTGGGGAAAAGATGTAGATACTTTAAGGTCAAGAGAGAATGAGTGAGTCATGAATGAGACAAGGCTACTCTGCAGCCACGGTGATCTTATACTGTACTGATATTAGTATTTAAGATAATAGAAAGAAGTAGACAAATGAGCACACAGCTCTCTTTCAGGCTCTTTGAGACACATACTCTTTCAGTTATGGTGGCATATTGGCAGGAATGGACACATGTATATTCGTTCAAAAGAGGATAGTAAAGGGACTCAAGTCATTATTTCCAGACACAGATATGGAGATGAAATGAATGATAGCTCCAGTTTTGTATGAGCTCAAGCCTTGGCAAGTGACACAGGAAGAACAGCTAATAGACAAAAAAGAGAAATTCTGACCAGGAAAACAAACAAACAAACAAACAACAAAAACCCAGCAGATTAAGTACAAGTGCTGGCATGAACAAACAAGGTTAGATTTTTTTTAGGATATGATCCTCAGAGCTAGACAAAAAACTAATGTTTGTAACAAACTTGTATCAGATTATATTATTATTCTCTTTATACAAAGTCAAATTTGGCTAATGATTGTATTACTTTTAGTCAAAGTTAAAGTCTGGAGCCATGAAGGCAAGCCCAGGATGGTCTTTCCTTTTGGAGCACTCAAATGTCCAAAATTTCAAAAACTGGCCTCCAAAAATGCTATATTCCCCATCATGAGAGGTTGTTAATCACAGCTCAGAAGATCTACCGGCAGTAGTGGGGTGATACAGAAGTGATCCTGCATTGGGTATGAAAAATAGGAATTCTCTGAATTTTGAGGCTAGCAGTAAGATAAGACATCTACATTCTGAATTAATGTGAAGTTTACTGAGGTGTTGCCCCCTATTCTCCCCCCCTCCCCCCGTTTCTCCCCCCCCCCCCCCCCACCCAGTGCCTCCTCGAGTGGAGACCAGGGCCGGCTGGAAGCAGGTATCTGGGATTTATTTATCTTCCATAATTGAAACTTTGTAGCCTTGAGCAGATGCCAGGGCCAAACAAGGCGTTGGGGGTAGGGGGGCTAGAGGTTAGGGGGTGAGGGATGGGGAAGAGCTTGGCTTCCTCCAACACTGTGGGCAACCCAAGCCTCCTGCACGCTCCAGCTCCATGGCCTCCACATCTTTGTTGGGTTAATTTGCATACTCACTCCTGATTGGCTGGTGGGTGTAGCAGAGTGATGGTCAATTTGTATGTTTCTCTTTTATTAGTGTAGATCTTAGTTACCACAAGCCATAATAGATACACACAAAAAAGTTTTTAAGAGAAAGGGCTGGAAATAAAGTCAACAAATCACCAAGGAAAAGAGCAAGAGGAAAAGAACTGAGA